CCCCAAAACCCCAAAACCCCCAAGATGAGACTTATTCAACTTTTAAAGTTCATTAAATATTTTAATTTGTGAAATTTTTACTTATATTAACAATAAGAATTAATTAAATTTCTAGTATACCAAATGACTGAATTCCAAATCTATAAAACTTTTTTATGATTTAATTACCGATATAAAATGATCATTATCTATTCATTATCATTATCACAATGATTGTAATGAAATGTCAAAATCTCTAAGTTATGTACTTGATTTTTAGAGTTTAGGTCCAAAAGCCTGATTTTCTAATGAAGATATTCTTTATTAAGAAAACATTTCTTCCGTAATCATGTTATTAGTTTTTATAATAATCTATGAGTTTTTCATTTCATCTTCAAATATCGTGCTTTAAACGTAATTTAGAAACTGTTTCTTGACTTCATGATTTCCATCTAGTTTTCTTCTAATCATTTGCGGGCCAAGTGAAATGCGCTTTTACTGAGTTTAAGGCATTTCACAAACATTCATCTACCTTGTTGGATTTTCTTATGTTTTCATATTCTTTAATACATTTTAGCTAGGCAAATACTAATTATCGATGCTTTCATTGAGGCTAAACATCGAAACACTAGATAATGAGTCTATTAAAGAATCAATCTCAAGTTTTAAGAGACTTTCATCATTTTAGTTTAATTTATTTGGCTAAGGTGTCTTATTTTCATAGTATACTTGTCCTACTTATTTTTTTGGTTCAGCATTCTCTAAATTTAAATCTTCCAAAATATTTTCTTAAGATTTTTTCCTTGAATTTAAGTTTGATCTCTATGATTTTAATAGATAGTTGTCGAGGGACTACTTAATTGATTTCATTTCATATTTATCAATTTCTCTCATTTGAGAAACCTAGGAATTCCGAACACTCAGGTGTGAATCCTATTTGATGTTATTTGAGTATTAATTATAATTACTCAGACTTCCTCCTCTATTTAAGCTATTTACCTATTACATATAGTCCCTAAACTCGTTATATGTAGTCTCTTAGGCACTTTAAATAGTTTAGAATATAGGTGGAGTTAGTTCAATCAAATCCTTCGAAGTAATTGATTAAAACAGTTTGTCAAGCTGAACTTTGCTAAACTTTCCAATCTAAATGTTTGGAAAATTTTCTTGCTTGATTGTGGAATGTTTTTTAGTTTTTTATTTTATTTGTGCATCTGGATTAATTTTTTTCATGTTCGATATCATATGTCTGTCGGTTGAATTTTTGGATATCGGTTTAACTCGAATATTACTCTTGTTTTATATCAGGCTAATACAGCAAAACTTTTTCTAGTTGGTTGGCTTAAAATCTTTTATTTGCTGAGAGGCCACTTAACTTGACATTTTATAACAAGATAAAAAATAGAATTTTATATTAAATAAGTGAATTAAATTCCCGATAGCTATTAGCTTGAAAACATAATCGTTTCTAGTAAAATGGGGTTTTGGGGTTTTGGGG